GAATTAAAAGTGATATAGAAGATATAACACACATGTATAGATTTTCTTGATGATTGGTGAGTAGTTCTATAGGATTGATTGCATTTTGATTAAAAACCTTAGAGACAACCTTGGAAATTTTGCTTCTTGTATAGAAAATAGTATTTATATGCATATATATTTATACACACACACGCACATATATACACACACACATATATATATTGCAGATAAGTATAAATAAGTATAGTGAGTAAGTATAGTATATATTGCAGATAAGTTTAAATAAGTATAGTGATGAACTAGAGTCATTGCTTCGAATAATGTTTAATACTTTAAAAATGGTTTATTAAAATGCCATCAAACAGGTTTTTTTAAGCATTAGGGACTCTGAAATTTTTCTCTGGTATACTTATCTAAGTGCTTGAGCATTTGGGCATCTTTTTTTTTTTTTTTTTTTTTTTTTTTTTATAGGAGAGCACTGGGACAGGTATTTATTTTATGTTTTTTTATGACCATAACTAACATTTCCCCTCTGATGTTCTAGAGACAGTAACTATATAGTTTTAGAGCTTATACTATATTTTTTAGGGATACAGACTCCATCCATTTTCACAGAACATGATATTTCAGGTGAATAAAAATTACATTTCCTTTAATTGTATTCAATTATTTGTCTTTATGTGTTACAGTGTGCTTTGTTGGTTTACGTGTACCCTATGACTGTCCTAGTTTGTGTCTTACACCCCCTTGAAATGATAGAACAGTAAAAAAGAAGAAATAAGAGAACTATAAGGAAAAACTTAAAGCTTAGAACTTTGGATTTCTTTAGTTAAAAGAGGACTAAAGCCCTGTTTCTTAGTATTTGGTTCTTAAAGCTCCATACTATATATATATTCTTTGCTGCCCTTTTTTTCCTTGCCTTCGTAGACAAATTGTTGACTCTGCTTAAATTATTTCTCCAAAGTAGAAGTGGCCTTTTTAATATCAGTGATTCCCAATATTGGGGCTTAACTGAGGTTAGAGATCTGTTCAATTATTGTCTATTCCAAATTAGATTGAATGATAAATACCTGAGATGGTTGTAAATTATATTCCCTTATGATAATGTTATTATTCTAATATCTATTTTACAGATACTGGTACCTGGAGTTCTGTAATAATTAACCTAAACACCAGCTAACTACTGATGGGAAAGTGGGTTAGTTCAGAATTTTGAAATGGGATTATTTAAAAATTTTAAATCTGAATTCCTATAATCTGTTTTTAAACATTATACTATGTGGCTGCTGAAGAAATTGTCAATGTTCCCACCCAAATATTGACATAGTACCCCAGGAGTCATTAATGAAATACTAAATGTACTTAGACTTTTTTCATTAAATGTTAAGATCACACTGCTATATGCTAACATGTACCTTAACGCACAACTTCTTAATTATTGGGAATATGAGGGTGACTGAATACATTTTCCATCCCTTTTCTAGGGAATGAGAAAATAACTACTCTGCTAATTATTTTAAATATATTTTAAATTCATCTTTTGATGATACTTAGAGAAGGACAGTGATAGATTGGTTCTCTACTTCTGATTTACATCTCCCTGCAATGTCTTTAATTTTTATTAAAAGGTGTTTTTATTTTTAATTTACAGTAGTTAATACATATTGATGAAGTACCAGTGGGACATTATAAAATGTATAATGTGTAAGGATCATCCCAGAACAACTGGCATATATATGCATCACTTCTGAGATGGCCTTTTTATGTACTGAATTGGATTTATTAGGGATCTCAGTTACGAAGGGCTTTATGGATAACTCAATAATGATTCCTGTCTATGTTGGATTCAAGCCTGAATTACCAACCAGTCAGATTTTTTTTTTTTCCCTACTGCTTGTTATGGAGCAAATGTTTATGACAAGAAGATTCCTAAGATTGGTAACCACGCAGTGGGCATCAGGCAAGTAGTCACATGCATAGTCAGCAAGAATTTAAATCAAATTATATCTGTACTTTTTTCTTAAAATTTAAGTTGATTAACAGCTTACAGTATAGAAAAAATAGTAGCGATGAGATAACTTTTCCTTTAGTGTTTTCTAAGAACTTCAGGTTTCTAGGCAAGAGAAACGGTAAAAATCTGTTATGTTGCAACCTTGTAAAAATTCTTTCTTTAGTCTAGTTTCTTTTAAATCTGAATTCTGTGGTTAAACTAACTCCATAAATGTGGCAGGTTTCTTTGTCTAATTTCTGCAAACTGACTATTACCTTGCTAGGTTTTATACTTATAAGTGGTGTATAAGTATTGCTTACATAGGTCTGTTTTTATTTTATATAACACTGGCCTAAGGGGGAAGAAAAGATATCCATTACTTTGAATATTTTGACCCAAGCTATCCAACTGGTTTTTGTTGTTGTTTATTAATTTATTTTTTGTTTTAAAGTTTTCCTAGACATGTATATAATTGAACCTTAAGGAATTGAAATTTATAGAAGGGGTTTGGAAAGCTACCTAACTTCTTATTTCTACTAAATACACACAAAAAAATTCCTTTATCCACAAAGTTTCTGATTCTGAGTGGTTTGCATGATATAAAACAGCACTAACTTTGGGAATCATGTGTTTATTGTGTGTAAGTTCCATCATGTATCCTTGATTTTAAAAAGATTTACAAGAAATGGGGGTAGAACATTTGAAACACTGAGCTATTGGAGTTGAGTAACACAAGAAGGGAGCCGTAAATCCAGTCTTCCCTACATTGGTCTCCTTTCTGTTTGTGTTTTGGTGTGGCTCCTATATTTGACACTTATTTCAGCTCATGACAAGAACTAAATACTTTTTCATTTCAGTACTATTTTTTTGAAACAAGTCTGATTTTCATGAAGTTTATTCGAAAATTACTATTTTCCATAGTTATCTAGACTAGAAATTAATCACTACTAATTTCTTAGCTCAGCTAACCAGCATCAGTTGTCTCAGTTGTCCCTTCTATTTTGGACTCTAAATCCAGGACTACATGGCCTAAGATGCCTAGTTCTGCTGATGGCTGGGGCTGGAACATGGCCTGCCTTGTTCTATAACATTATCACCAGCTTTCTGTTTTCCAAGTCCTTCACTGTCTTAAGCCTGGCTGTCCTGGAACTTGCTCTGTAGGTTGACCTTGAAGTCACAAATCTGTATGACTTTGTCACCTGAATGCTGGGATTAATTGTATGTGCTATCACACTTAGACCTAAGCTTTTCTCTACTTGGAACTTGCTCTGTACCAGGCTGGCCTTGAACTCAGAGATTTGCTTGCCTCTATCTCTTAGGATTAAAGGCTTGCCTGGACCTAAGCTTTTCATGGCCACTATTCCTTAAGATTCAGATCAAAAGCCTGTGTCCTCCACTTCTGGATTGTAGTTCATTCCAGATTAAAAGTCCAAATGAAAGCAATAACCAGATATAATAACACCTAGATATAATTATTCCTTGTTCAATGGCAAATGCATAAACAACCAGTTTATCTGGGTGACCTCTTATCCCAAAGTCACCACTCTCTTAATCTGTTTATCTCCTTGAACATAGGATTCAGCTCTATTCTACTTCTTGGCACAAAGCCCCTTTCTTCTTTGAACCATACATTTTGTACTTTTATTTTTGAAGCTTGCTCATTTTCACCAAAAGGCTCTTCATTAAAGTGAACTTTAGTAACCACATACCAGAATTTATACCAGGCTGTTTTGAGACTTCCTTTGTCAAAGCAATTAATCTAGATCTCTTCACCTTAGCCTCAGGCAGACTCTTTGGGAAATGGCAAAAAACAGCCACATTCTTCACCAAAATATCATAAGAACAGTCTCTCAGCCATGTGGAAAATTCTTCTCCTCTGAAACCTTTGGAGCCAGGCTTCCACAGTTCAAATTACCCTCAGCAACAAATTCTTCCATATTTCTGGTAGGATGGCCCATTAAGCCCTACTTAAAGATTTCCACTGCTTTCCAAATCCAAAGTCCTCAAATTCACATTCTTCCAAACAAAAGCACGATCAGGTCTATCATATTAATACCCCACGCTGGGTACCAACTTCTGTCTTTGTTAGGGTTTCATTGCTGTGAAGAGGCACTGTGACCATGGTAACTCTTATGAAGGAAAACCTTTAATTGGGGCTGGCTTACAGGTTCAGAGGTTCAGTTCATTATCATTATGGCAAGAAGTATGGCAGCAGCCAGGCAGTTATAGCACTGGAGTAGCTGAGAAATCTGCCTCTTGTTCCAAAGGCAGCTAGAAGACACCTCCTAATAGTGTCACTCCCTGGGCCAAACATACTCAAACCACCACAGTGTTATTACATCTTTTTAACTCGAGATTGTGTGTCATTTATCCATTTTGGCATTTTATAGGAAAAGTTAGGGTTTGCTTTAAAATAGACTAGGATGTGTCTTATGTGTACATGGCCTTAAGCTTGATTCCCAGCCATTCATTGAAAATTGGCTTCAAAAGTAAAAAAGGTCAAGTAGTACCATTTTTGAAAATACTATTTTTTAAGCAATTAAACAAATCATTAAAATATTACTTCCCTTTAGTAGTTGTTCATTGGTAACACTGTTCATTTTCATTACTATACCTTCTTTTAAAGTACTATAAAAGATAAGGAGGGTTTTTGTTTGCTTGTTTGTTTTGCCTCATGGTTGTAGGGTCTATTTTGTCAAGATAGTTCGCCACCACCACCAGCTCAGGCTAGGGCACTGGTAAATTTTTTAGGGGTGGGGACTTTTTGAGACAGGATCTCATATGTTGCCCAGAATGGCCTACAACTCACTATGTATAGAGCACCAGCTGTTCTCAGACATACAACTGTCTCCTGTCTCAGCCTCTTACTAAATATTTTATTATTTGATTTTATTTTTTTAAACTTATAGGCCTTGACCAAATGGGAAACTAACTGAATGGGAGAGCTTTATGAGATCTCTTTAAAGTGCTTAATTGTTATTTAATGAACTTTGATATGATGTCATACATCAATTTTTATCTTTTAAAGGAAGGTGCATCTGCCCGTAAGACTCAAACTCCTGCAGCCCAGCCTGTACCTAGACCAGGTAAAAATATATATAATTTTGATTTTTTTTCCTAGATGGTCTTGTTTTTGATGTGTAGTAATTTAAAGAAAACATTGTTTTGCTTAAAATACACCAAAAGGCCATTTCTCTTCAATGCTGATTTTAGTCACCAGCATTCCGTAAGCAGGTCCTAAACTATGGTGATATACACAAAATGCTTATTAAAGTTTGACCAGCATCCTTAATCTTTTTATTCATAACAGAAAAACAAAGAAGTTAAAATGTATAGTTTCACAGAATCTTTAAAATCTATATCTTTAATATTATTTACTGGATTATCTTTTCCTCAATTTGAGTTAAAGACTTGATTATTTATTTATTTATATCACAAAATATCTGACAAAAGCAACTTTAGAAGGAAGGGTTTATTTTCATTCAAGATTTAAAGGTATAGTTCATTATCAAGGGAAATTACTGAAGCAGGAGCTTGAGGAAGCTGATCACATTGCATCCATGGTCAGGAAGCAGAGGGAGATTAATAGTTAGCTCCATTAGCTTTTTCCTGTTCATGCAGTATGGAATCCTAGCACCTGAAGTAGTGCCACCTACATTCAAGATGACTTCTCACCTTGATTAATGTGATTTAGATAATCTGTCACAGACATTTCCAGAGGCTAACATAATGTGTGTAGAAATGGAAGTTAAGGGGTGTTGGCATTTGAATGTGAAATGTCCCAATAGCTTCATGTGTCTGAATACTTGTTTCCCAACCCAGTGATGCTATTTGGGAAAGTTGTGGAAGTTTCACAAGTGGAGGAAAGGCACTGGGGATGGACCTGGAGGCTTTCTATCCTGGCCCCACTTCGTGTTCAACTCCTGCTTTCTCCTTCTTCATGCTTCCCTTTCCTGCTGTCATGGCTGTCCCGCAGTAATGGGCTCTATCTCTTTGGAACTGTAAGCCAAAGTAGACCCTTTCTCCCATAGGCTTCCTTTGTCAGTTATTAAGTATATTTGTGAGCTTGTGTGTGCGTACATTGTGCATTCCACAGAGCACATATATAAGAGGACATTTTCTCTGTTTACTGTGTGAGTTCTGGGCATTGAACTTAGGTCGTTAAGTTTGGCAGCAGGCACCTTTATCTGCTGAGCCATCTTGTTGGTCCTTGTCCAGAGTATTTTGTCAGAACAAGAAGTTAATCATGAAAAGAAGAGGGTTTTCACAATCAAATTTGAAGTATCAGGTTCTGAAATTTTCAACTCTTAGTATCTTATGCTGCTTTTTCATTGTGCTCTACCCAAGTACAATGAAGTTTTAACTAATTTGAAGAAATTTAGTCTAAACTGAACATCTTATAATATCTCAGACATGCCCCCTCCCTCCCTCCCTCCCCTCCCCTCCCCTCCCCCCCCCCCCCCCCCCCCCCCCCTTTCTCCCTCCCCAATTCCCTCCCTCCCTGCCTCCCTCCCTTCTTTCATTTCATCTATCCAAAGTCAGGGTAATTATTTTTTGTGAGCACTTTTTTTCTATGGAAATGTTTGTTACATGGTATTTCGCAATTTGAAGGGGGTATTGTTTAATATTTGACATGTTCATTTGCTATTTTTTGTTGGAGGCCAGCTCTGGTAGTGTGTTCAGCAATCCAAGGAGGAGATGTGGGTTTGACGACTATGTAAAGCAGGGACACATTCACACAAACTTGGTGGGTGAAACATGGCTCTGGCAAATTGATTTTTTTTCTCCCACAGCTTATATCCTACAGGAAAATCTTTTATGCAGTATAAAAGTTACAATGTAGTTACATTCTATTTTTCTTTAAGTGAATGATTACAATGAGTATAAGTTGAAAAAAAAAAACAGCATGTTCCCCTACACCCTTACATGATTAAAGGTTTTACATTTTACAGATGAAAATCAAATTAATCCTAAGAACCCACTACATTCGTGTCTAAGCAAAGTGTAAGCAAGCAAGGTATTTTTCTCAGGCTGAAACTTTACAAAGAAAGGATTAATCATTTTATTATTTATCTTAAAAGGCAATCTTATAAAAACTCTAAAAGAATCACAAATCTAGACTTTTATACATACAGGAAGCAATCAGTCAATTCTACTTTAAATCTTCAGGCTGTGTACCTACATACGACCAATTTTTATTAAATCATATCAGGAAGTCAAAGGCAAAAATGGGTATAAGAAATTAATCATGGCTTTGATCACCATCCCAGCTTTAGCAAGAGAGACATGCCAGCTAGCACTAGTCAGGCTGCCACTGTTCTAGTTCCCTAACCTGAAAAATCCCTCACTCAACTATCAAGAGTGTGCTTTTCTGAGCTTTCAGTTGTTCCCCAAGATTTTCTACATCAAAGCCACAAAAGCAACCTAATTTTACTAGCAGTCTACATTTCTAAATTCTTTCTGAGCGTGGTGATTGATTCATCTGCTCCAGCAGCAGTGTTTGAAAAAGATCAATCACTATTATTATTGTAAGTGCCAATGATACTGCCCAATGAGGGGCTAGAAACCCTCTTAGAGTTGTCATACAACTCATATTATGAGGGAAGTGATAACCTTGAGGGCAACAAGCAGAGTGAAACTCCATAACAGCATGAACTCCTCTTTGCCTCTCAGGAGTGCACTTCTGTCATGGTTGTACTAACTGGTGGTCTGCCCTCCATTAGTTCCAAAGCTGTTTAATCTTCCTTTTGCATGGCCCCAGATCTCCTCTTGGGTTGCTGAACACACTGCGAGAGCTGGCCTTCTTCAATTTTTTAAACCTGGAGTTGGGGGAAGACAACCTGGGAATACACAAAAGTGTAATATGTAATATGTAGGGACAGTATAGAATTGTACTTATTCTATAAGTAGAGTTTGGAGCATATGGAAATGTGGAGTGAACCACTTAGTTTTCACTTAGATTAGGGACCTAAAGGATAGAATTCCATTTATGAACAGTTAAATTTATTTTTTAACTTACCTTTGTCAAACATGAGTAATATTGTACCAGGCTAATCCCTAGATATAAAGCATTTAACTAAAAAAGTTTCATGTCTTTAAAAAATTTTGGAAAGCAGCTAGCTAACAGTGGTTGCATGTTTTCTAGCTCATCTAGAAATACAAGTCTTGAGTAAGTTACAAACCCACAGTCATCTCATTTTTATAGCCCAAGTAAATCACTTTCCTTTCGTTTGCTTTTTAATCACTATCTCGATTCAGCTTTTCCAGATTAAAATTTTTTATTTTATTATTTTAAAATGATTTAGTATTTTATTTTGATTTTTTTTTTTTTTTTTTTTTGGATATAGGGTCTTAACTGTGCAGATGTAACAGGGTGTCCTTGACCTTACAGAGACTCATTTTCCTCTACTTTATGACTTGGAATTAAAGATATGTATGCCACTGTGCTCAGCCTTCTAGCTTTAAATTGCTTATAATTTAGAATTCTTAAGTAAATGACCTATAGCTCTAATGTGTCTCATATACTCCTGTGAGATTGAGAAAGCTACTTTTGTCTATTTCATTCAAACTTTTCATGATAATAGTTACTCAGTTTGTAAGCGATGTGCTTGATGGAGACTTCTATAACTATCCTCTAGCTTAAAACGTATATGCTAAGCTGGGCAGTGGTGACATATTCCTTTAATCCCAGCACTTGGCAGACATAGGCCAACAGATATATGTGAGTTTTAGGACAGCCAGGGCTACACAAAGAACTCCTGTCTTGAACCCTTCCCCTCCCCTCGCCTCCCTTCCTCAAGAAATGTATATGTTGATGATTTCCAAATTTTTACCTTCAGTTAGATATCTTTGTCTAGCTTTGTCACTTGGTACTAAAAATAGTACCTCTGACATCTACATGAAAATAAGTTATGAGTATCTTAAAACAATTGTAAACCTTACATTGTAGTCAGCAGACCCCATTCTATGAGTCTAACTTTCTGTTCCTGCTCTGTCCTCCCAAAGAAACATGGTAGAAACTGTCACGGACATCCAAATATATATATATTAAATATAATCTAATTAATTCAGTGAATTTAATAGTAATTGTTAAAAGCCTTTCCCACTTAACCATAGATAGGAGTAAAACAATAAGAAAAAAAAAACCCTCATTTAAATCACACATAATCTGAGTACTTTCATACTAGTTCTAACCGAGCTTTCTTTAGCTCCTCCTGTCCTGAAGCTTACTACATATGCAAGGCAGACTGCAAAACCAGATATGCCTGCCTCTGTCCCTACCCACTGCTGGAATTAAAGGCATGTACTAGACATTTCCCCTAAGAAGTTCTTTTAATCTCTATCTAAATCCCCTATTTTTCTTTTGCAAAAGGTGAAAATCAGATCTTGCCACTTCTGGCTTAAAAGTTACTGTTCTTTTACTTGGGGAAAAAGAAACAAACATTTCAATATCCTTTGCAAATCAAAACATGTCATCTGTGTCAGATTAGTATGTTGTTCAAATGGTTGGTAGCACAAGTCTATCTATAGTCCCTGCTAGTGAGAAATGGGAAGACCAGGTGAATCCAAAAGTTAAATTGTAGCAGGATTCAACCCACAAGGTTGAAAGCTCTGTGAGGGCAGATCTCACTGCTGTCTAATGACTATGTAAAGTGTCATACTGAGTAATGCTTTTAAAATAAGGAGTTCCAACATTTGTAACCAAGCAAACAAGCAGTAATAATGTTTCTTTTGTTCTTCATTGGCTGGCATATTGACAATGATCGTATTTGCTTTAGTAGTAGCAGCAGCAGCAGCAGCGGGGCTCAGTAAATAACATAAATATATGCCAGGTCTGTCTAAGGACTTGGAATACATCACAATTTTTAATTTGTTTTGTGACATTTAGTAGGACATAGAATTATCTTTATTCTGCAATTGAGGAAACAGACTAGACAGAGTGAGTTACCTTACTAGTTTAGTTTGTTTAAGCAGTAGCAAATGTGGGTCATGAGTTAAATCATGAGATGAGACCCTTACTATTGATTACTGCTATTTTTTTTATTTATTTAAAAATATATATTAGGGTGTATTCATTGCAGAGCAGTTTCATACTTACATTTTTGTTCTGGTATATTGAGTGCCTTGATCATTTGAGCCAATCAAATCCATCAACCATATATTCTCTACCTATTACTTGCTCTTGCTTCCCCTTAGCAAATTTCTTATGATGTATATAGGCATGTTTTTACATGTGTATTTATTTTTTTTAAAAAAATCTAAGATTCATATATGAGAGAAAACATCCTGTTTATCTTTCTGAATCTAGCTTATTTTCTTGTATATGTATTATATATATGCATATGTATATATATATGTTTGGATATCAGAAATTATCCATGTCTTTCTTAATGTCTGTCTACTCTGTTTTGAGATGGTCTTTCGTCAAAGCTGGAATTCATAGATTAGGCTAGATTGGCTGGCCAGTGACCACCAGTGACCTACCTATCTTTTTAACACCCCCCTCCATGTGCCTAACTGCAGGTATTATAGGCATGTGTCACTGTGCCTGATAATTTATGTAGATTCTTGGTATTCAAGTACAGGTTTTTTGTGCTTGCACAACAGACACTTTACCTACTGAAGCTTCTTCCAGCCCATGCTTGTTTGTCTGTATAGTTGAATCTAACTCTATTATGTATATATCCTACATTTTTTGTATGAACTCATCTTTTAATGTATACCTAGCAGTGACGTATAGTGGGATCTTGTGGTATTTCTGTTTCTAATCTTTATGATGTCTACCTTAAATTATGTTTTGGCATCAGTGTGTAAGTGTTCCTTTCCCCCTTAGATCCTTGCTAATATTTGTTAGCTTTCTTTTTCTTTTTTCTTTTTTAAAAGATTATACTGAGGGGGAGAGGAACAGAAAGAGGAAGAGAGAACCCTAGTGTACCATGTCACATGTATGGAAATCAGAATGCAATTTGTTGAAGTATGATCTCTTTCCACCATATGTGCCTTGGGGACTGAGCTCAAATGTCAAGCAAATGCCTTTACCTACTGAGTGATTTCTCTTGCTCTATTTTTTGTAATGTTAATTCTCACATATATGATAGAGAATTGCAATGATTTTTGTTTGCATTTCCCTAATTTTCTTGACATTTTTGTTCCAATATTTCGAGTGCCTTGATCATTTGAGCCAATCAAATCCACTGACCATATATTCCCTACCTACAACCAGAAATATTTGTGTTTCATAGTGCAACCATAATTAATACTACTGAGGTCAATTACACACTGTATAGATTAGATATTCAGATATAGTTGACTCACTGCTCTTGAGAGTTCTTTTCTGACCAGACTTCATTTAAAAATTTTAAAGAGAGAAAAGAATTTAAAAACTATTTCAGATCTTAATTCCCAGTAACTTCTTTTTCTTTCCTTAGTTTTTTTGTCCTACTGTGGTAGATGTTCTTTCAGTACCCTGGTTTTACATTTAACAGTTAATCGATATAATATAAAACAATTTTGTTTACCAGATCCAGACATCCATGGTCATAGTATAGCACCGTTACATTATTTATTTCTTGTAACATCAAGTTGTTGAGTAATGTTAAAGCATTTTAATATTTGCAAAAAGTAGAGGCATAAAATGTGAGATGTTTTTGTTTCATCACTAGACATTTGAATATCAGCAATGTTTAGGCTTCCTTTGTAAGTTGGAAATAATTTTTTTTATAATAATCGTAATTTTGTTTTTCTTTCTTTCTAGTGTCTCAAGCAAGACCTCCCCCAAATCAGAAGAAAGGTATGATTGTGCCTTTGGATTACTTTAAGCAGTAAATGTGGATGAATTAGGTTATAAAACCAGTGGTAATATGCTTGTGTATCAGGTGTATCTGCTTGCTATTTTTGGTTGTCAGGAAATACTCAATATAGGTTATTAAATATTTTTGCCATTATTACTTTTTAAAAATAATTTAGTATAAAAGAATGTTTAAAATTACTTTAATAAGAAAGTAGTATCAGTAATGATGCTGATTTTGCTTTTAACCTTAAATTTTTTTATTTACAGGGTCACGAACACCCATTATTATTATTCCTGCAGCTACTACTTCTTTAATAACCATGCTTAATGCAAAAGACCTTCTACAGGATCTAAAGTAAGTAATTTATAAGTCCCTCCCTTCCTTCCTTTTCCTGAGAGAGTGTTTCTCTGTTTAGCCTTAACTGTCCTAGAACTCTAGATCACACTGGCTTTGCCTCTGCCTCCTGAGTGCTGAGATTAAAAGTGCCATTGCCACCACCACCACTCATTTATAGCTTTTTATAATTAAATTTGTTCTCTTATAAGATAATCATATCACTATAAAGTTTTAAATTGTTTTTTGCTATTATATCATTTTCCCCTTCCCTTTCTTCCCTCTAAAGCCTCTGTGGTACATTTTTTTCATTGGGAAAAAAAAATGCTTTAAGCACTATATTCTGATTATGCCTTTTCTCTCCAAATTCCTCCCATGTCCTACCTACCTTCTCACCCAATTTCATGATTTCTCTGTCCGTCTCCCTCTTCTCTGTATAACAAACACACAAACATACACACAAAAATGGAAACCAGAATATAAAGCAAAAGTCCATCGAGACAAAAATGCCTAAATAAAGCAAAATGAGCCAGGAATCATGCACAATTACCTTCTTACTTCTGGCTAAGGCACCTACTCTGATGGGTGGTTAATATACTCAGTGACGCTCCATTGGAGAAAATCAATTTTTCCTTTACCAGTAGATATCATTTGCCTATAGCTTCTTGTTTAACTGTGGGAACCCATATCCACTTCCCCCTCTCAGCACTGGGACCCCTTCTTTCTGGCTTTAACCTGTGCAAACCCTGTGTTTGCTGCTTTGGTTTCTTTAATTTTATGTGTGTACTAGAAATGTTGTATATGGAAGACAAGTTCCTTAGAGTCATCTATCACCTAAGTTCTTAAAATCTTTCCACATCTTTTTCCACATACATCCCTGAGCTCTAAGGCAACAGATGTGATGGAAACATCTCATTTGTGACTTAAGCCTATAATGGAGGGCTGAGAGGATAGGGGGAAAAGAGCTGAGCTGAGTCTGCACCACGAAGAATCCCCATGGAATGGAGGTGAGCTGGGAGGAGGTGCTCCTGCAAACAAGCTGTTAGATCACTGAGAGTGTGATTGCAGTGAGACTGCAGAGATTGTAATGGACCAGGAAGGATAGTGAAAGCCACCTTTCCCAGTCACAGCCAGTTGTGGCCACTGGGGTCCCAAGTAGATAATATTTCTGGGGCTTGGTGGATGGTGACACAAAGGAATATTGATTGGCTAGAAGGAAAGGCTCATTGCACAGTACAATTTGTGATTTGAGTGAAAACAATTTTGCCTAACAAAAGCTAAGTAAAAGTTTCCAAAATTATAGTTATATTATAGTTAATATAATATAGTTATATTATCTGAGTTCTTCAGTTCAGTGGTTCTCAACTTGTGGGTCCTAACCCCATTGGGGGTCGAACAACCCTTTCCCAAGAGCTCCCTCAGACCACCGGTAATCACAGATACTTATATTGTGATTCATAACAGTAGCAAAATTACAGTTATGAAGTAGTAATGAAAATGATTTTAAGGTTGGAGGTTACCACAACAGGAGGAATTGTGTACTAAAGGGTTGTTGCAGCACTAGGAAGGTTGAGAACCACTGCTTTAGAGATAGTTACAGAAACTTTTAGATGAAGCTCTTAGGAAAAGGATGCTCTCAGTTTTTAAAAGCAATTGCTATATTTTGATTTTTATCTGGAGACCTTGAGGAGCTTCTAAAACAAATTCTGGTCCTTTCTATGGACCTCCCTACCAGGAGCACGTAGCCCTATTAGAGAGTGGGCCATAGACATTTGATATACGCAGAAGTAAAAGCTTAAAAGGTACAAATGAAATGTATGTCCTATTTTAATTCACAGGTGTTTAGCCTTTTGAAAAGTTCAGTAGCTGCTTCCCAATTTCCTTTTTAGAAAGACTACATATACATTTATGGTACATTTGTTCTAATGAACACTTGCATCATATACAATAAATCTATATATATATATGTATATAGTTTTTTATTGGATATTTTATTTACATTTCAGATGTTATTCCCTTTCCCCATTCCTCCCTCCCACCCAGGAACCCCGTATTCCATCCCCCCTCCTCCTGTTTCTATGAGGATGTGTCACCACCCACCCGCCCACTCCAACCTCCCACCCACGAATACACCTACACTGGGGCATCCAGCCTTCACTGGACCAAGGACTTCCTCTTTCATCTATGCCTGACAATGCTATCCTCCCCTACATAAACAGCTGGAGCCATTGGTCACTTCCTATGTGCTCCCAGGCTGGTGGTTTAGACCCTGGGAGCTCTGGTTGGTTGGTATTGTTGGTCTCCCCATGGGGCCGCAAACCCTTTCAGGTCCTTCAATCTTCTCTCTCACTCCTCCATTGGGAACCCTGTGATCAGTTCAATGGTTAGCTGTGAGCATCCGCCTCTGAATATGTCAGACTCTGGAAGACCTCTAAGGAGACAGCTATATCAGGCTCTTATCAGCATGCACTTCCTGACTTCCACATCAGCATCTACCTTTGGTGACTGCACATGGGATGGATACCCAGGTGGAACTGTCTCCAGATGGCCCCTCCTTCAGTTTCTGTCCCACACTTTGTCTCCATATTTGCTCCCTTGAGTATTTTGTTACTCCTCCTAAGAAGGACCGAAGCACCCACACATGGGTTTTCCTTCTTCATGTGGTCTGTGAGTTGAATCTTGGCTATTACGAGCTTCTGGGCTAATATCCAATTATCAGTAAGTGAATACCATGTGTGTTCTTTTATGATTGGCTTACCTCACTCAGGATGATATTTCCTAAGAATTTCTCAAATTCATTGTTTTTAATAGCTGGGTAATACTCCATTGTGTAAATGTACCACATTTTTTGAATCCATTCCTCAGTTGAAGGACATCTGGGTTCTTTCCAGCTTCTGGCTATTATAAATAAGGCTGCTATGAACATAGTTGAGTATATGTCCTTGTTATATGTTCGAGCATCTTCTGGGTATATGCTTAGGAGTGATATAGCTGAGTCCTCAGGTAATGCTATGTCCAATTTTCTGAGGAACCGCCACACTGATTTCCAGAGTGGTTGCACCATCTTGCAGTCCAAACAACAATGGAAGAGTGTTCCCTTTTCTCCACATCTTTGCTAGCATCTACTATCCACCTGAGTTTTTAATCTTAGCCATTCTGACTGGTGTGAGGTGGAATCTCAGGGTTGTTTTGATTTGCATTTCCCTGATGACTAAGGATGCTGAACATTTCTTTAGGTGCTTCTCGGCCATTCGAGCTTCTTCAGTTGAGAATTCTTTATTTAGCTCTGTACCCCATTTTTCGGTTATTTGGTTCTCTGGAGTCTAATTTCTTGAGTTCTTTGTATATATTGGATATTAGCCATCTATCAGATGTAGGATTGGTAAAGATCTTTTCCCAATCTGTTGGTTGCCGTTTTGCCCTATTGACAGTGTTTTTTGCCTGACAGAAGCTTTGCAATTTTATGAGGTCCCATTTGTAAATTCTTGATCTTAGAGCATAAGCAATTGGTGTTCTGTTCAGGAACTTTTCCCCTGTGCCCAGGTATTAGAGAGTCTTCTCCATCTTCTCTTTTGTTAGTTTCAGTGTATCTGGTTTTATGTGAAGGTCCTTTATCCACTTGGACTTGAGCTTTGTACAGGGAGATAAGAATGGATGGATTCTTTTCCATGCTGACCTCCAGTTGAACCAGCACCATTTGTTGAAAATGCTCTCCTTTTTCCACTGGATGGTTTTAGCTCTTTTGTCAAAGATCAAGTGACCATAGGTTTGTGTGTTCATTTCTGGGTCTTCAATCCTATTCCATTGATTGTCCTGCCTGTCTCTGTACCAATACCATGCAGTTTTAATCACTATTGCTTTGTAGTACAGCTTGAGGTCTGTGATGGTGATTCCCCCAGAAGTTCTTTTATTGTTGAGAATAGTTCTCGCCATCCTGGTTTTTTTGTTATTCCAAATGAATTTGCAAACTGCTCTTTCTGTCTCTATGAAGAAATGAGTTGGAATTTTGATGGGGATTGCATTGAATCTGTAGATTGCTTTTGGCAGGATGGCCATTTTTACTATATTAATCCTGCCAATCCATGAGCATGGGAGATCTTTCCATCTTCTGAGATCTGCTTCAATTTCTTTCTTCAGAGACTTGAAGTTCTTGTCATACAGATCTTTCACTTGGCTTGGTTATAATCACACCAAGGTATTTTATATTATTTGTGCCTATTGTGAAGGGTGTCATTTCCCCGATTTCTTTCTCAGCCTGTTTATCCTTTGAGCAGAGGAAGGCTACTGATTTGTTTGAGTTAATTTTATATCCAGCCACTTTGCTGAAGTTCTTTATCAGGTTTAGGAGTTCTTTAATGGAGGTTTTGGGGTCACTTAAGTATACTATCACATCATCTGCAAATAGTGAAAGTTTGACTTCTTCCTTTCCTATTTGTATCCTTTGACTGTATCCACTACTGACTGAGTCATTATTGAATCAGCGTGGCTCCCATTACCACCTTCTCATGACCTCCTCACACTGAGGCTGGACCTTGGCATATTCCACAAAACATGGCTAAGAGACAGGAAACTTTAGGACACTTTTCTCTTACAGTGTTTCATATATAAGAGAAAGAAAGTAGAAGATCTCAAAATACTGTGTTTGAGATGATTGAGAGGAGTGCTGTAATCACTGGCTGGAAACTAGTGGAACCATAATATGTTTATAGTGATTTTGTTCTGTTTTATTAAATAGAAATTGCACATGATATAATTATATTGAGTACCTGGTAATTTAGTCTTAATGGTTGCCATAGGTTATTCGTTTCTAGTCCTTAATTCATATATATGGATGAATGAATGAATGAGAGAGAAAGAATAAAGTAATTTAGCACATAGAGTAAAGGATTTTACTATGACATTTCATATGTATATGCCATTTTCTGTTTTGACCAAGTATGGTTAATTATTAAGCCACCACATATGAGGTGCATATACATATATGTTGGCAAATATACACACAAATCCTTAAGTTCTTTCTT